GCGAGTTCTGGCTCCAGCGAGTAGCTTTTCTGGGTCATGTGATTACTCAGACAGGTATCGAGGTGGATCCTTCTAAGGTCTCAGCTGTTCAAAACTGGTCGACACCGAAGAGTCCGTCTGAGGTTCACAGTTTTCTCGGTTTAGCTGGCTATTATCGCAGGTTCATCGAGGGCTTTTCTAAGATTGCCCTCCCACTATCTCAGCTGACGAGGAAGTCTGTGAAGTTCGAGTGGACTGATTGTTGTGAGTTGAGCTTTCAGGAGCTCAAGAGGAGATTAACTTCAGCCCCGGTGTTGACTATTCCCGATCCTTCTCGGAGTTTCACCATTTCCAGTGATGCTTCAAAGTAGGGACTGGGATGTGTACTCATGCAGAACGGCCAAGTCGTTGCCTATGCCTCACGCCAGCTTAAGCCGCACGAATAGAACTATCCGACGCACGACTTGGAGTTAGCCGCAGTTGTTCATGCCCTCAAGATTTGGCGAAATTATCTTTACGGCGGTTGTTGCGAGATTTTCACAGATCATAAGAGTCTGCAGTACATTTTCACACAGAAGGAGCTTAACATGAGACAGCGCCGTTGGCTCGAGCTCGTCAAGGATTACGATTGCTCAATTCAGTATCATCCGGGGAAGGAGAACGTCGTTGCTGATGCCCTAAGCCGAAAGGTGAGGGGTGACTCAACCTATGTTGTTACTCAGCAGAGTCCGTTAATTCAGGAGTTCGTCCGGATGCAGATTCAGGCGGTCGATGCACTTCCCACAGCTGTTTCGGGGAGTGTCAGTGCCAGTATTAGTGCCATGCAGATTCAGCCGACGCTGAGAGAGAGAATCCGGCGGGAGCAGGCTTCTGACGAGTTCATTCGTGTCATGGATGCCAAAGTCCACGCCGGAGGCGTCGAGGGTTTTCAGTTAGGTTCAGATGGTGCATTGGAGTTCAGGGGCAGGATCGTAGTCCCAAAAGTCGAGGTGTTGCGGAAGTAGATATTATCAGAGGCTCATACCGCACCTTATCTAGCCCATCCCGGAAGCAGGAAGATGTATCACGACCTGAAAGGGTCGTTCTGGTGGCGAGGGATGAAGAGGGACGTTGTCGAGTTCGTCAGAAGATGTTTTACCTGTCAGCAAGTCAAAGCCGAACATCAGAGTCCGATCGGCCTCCTGCAACCACTGCCGATTCCGAGGTGGAAGTGGGAGGAAGTCACGATGAATTTCGTTACGGGATTACCGAGGTCGTCTGAACATCACGACGCTATTTGGGTCGTGGTCGACCGATTGACTAAGGTCGCGCATTTCTTACCCGTTTCGATGAAGATGTCTATGGATAAGTTGGTTGAGATATATACCCGTGGGATCATCCGACTCCACGGAGTGCCCGTTACTATCGTATCAGACAGAGATCCCAGGTTCGTCAGTCGATTCTGGCACAGTTTACACGAGGCGATGGGCACGAAGCTAGAGTTCAGTTCAGCCTACCATCCGGAGACAGATGGTTAGTCCGAGCGGACCATTCAGACACTTGAGGATATGCTTCGCGCTTTGGTTGTTGACAGGGGTGCTAAGTGGAGTCGTTGTTGCCGTATGCTGAGTTCGCGTACAACAACAGCTATCATTCTTCTATTCAGATGGCTCCTTACGAGGCACTTTACGGTCGTAAGTGTCGTTCCCCTCTTTATTGGGACGACGTCGGAGAGCGACGAGTACTCGGTCCGAAGATGATCGAGGAGACCGCAGATCAGGTCGAGTTGATCCGGCAGAGACTTAAAACAACTCAGAGTCGACAGA